GATCGGCTTTCCGAAACCAAGATCCCGCGTGATCTCGTTTCCCAGTTGCCGAAGCTGAAATCTGATTCCCGCCTGATAGCCACAGCATGAGGTTGCTCTTAAGACTAGCGTGCAAGAAAGAAATGCAAGCAGAAAGGTTTGAGAAATGCGGCAAGCTGGGGCTTGAGTAGAGAGACGAGGAACGGAAGAGATCACGGACCTGGGGGAAAACCGAAATGGGCTCAGCGAGCCTCGGGTTAGGTAGCCTATATTTTTCACATACCCTGAACAAAAAAGGATTTTTATTTACATATACAGCACCTAAAAGTTCATATTTATGTCTATAGCACTGTTAAATTTTATTACCGTCGCTTGCTAGCAGTGGGTGCAATGATATTTGGGCGGGAATTGTTGAACTGTTTTTCTCGTTGTTTTCTTTTCTTCCCAACAAAACTGCTCTTAGGGAATTTATTAAATCCTGATAATTTATGTCATATTTTGCTAGACAGACCTAATAGGAGAAATTATTATGTATGGAGAACGCAGCTTTGCGTCCTATCAACGGATTTGATTCATCTTTGTCGGAGAGAAAAAAATTTCTCACACTATAGTGTATTGTTTCCGTTGTCCGGACACGGTGCTCTCGAATATGGCCAATGGTGAAGATGATCTCCAGTTGTGCTTTCTATTCCTCTATATTATTGTGTTGGTGCCTCTCGGCAGACCATCCTCGTGCTCGTGACCCATGATCTTCATCCTCGGTGCAATATTCACAATCTGATTTAGATTTTAATGAATCTTTATCCTTCGACTAGCTATGATCTATGATCATTTTTTTGTGTTTAATTTTTTTTTTTTCTTTTTGTGTTCCTTAATTACATGTTGTTTGTTCTTGGAATCAATCTGCAACAAAAAGGTTCTTGCAATTGCAGGTAAGAAAAAATAGGGTAGAAAGAGAATGAGAGGGTTTGAATAGGGTTGATGCTAAAGAAAAAATTTTACATTAGAACTCCGGATGCATTCGGAGTCCAATGATAGAGTGTCACCTGTCAAGTGGACTCTACCTTTTTTAACACTTCGTCAATGTCAGTGTATTGATGTAGGGCCACGTGGCGCCCCACCATTGGACTCCTAATACAAATAATGTTAGGAGTCCTGAGTAGCGTCGAGAATGCATGACGGAGAGTAGGCGGCAGGGAAGATGTGCTTAGTGAAAGTGCTAATCATGTGGATTTTAAGAGAATTTGGGTGCTATGGACGTAAATAGGAACTTTCGTGTGCTCCATGTATGTAAATATCAAATTTTTTAAGTAAGGCAAAAATCCTCTGTTTTTTTTTTTTTTAATTTACATGCATACCACCTAATTCTTGTGTATTTATATATATCACACAACTAAATTAACCAAATTTTCTTATCATAGCAAACACATCACTCATTTAATTCTTATGTATTTACATATCTAACACCTAAACTTAAATTTTTATGTGTATACCAACTTGAGCATGAAAATATGTACTTCATTCCTGAAAAATTAAAATAGTGATATTTTTATGTAATATGACAATTTTGGTTGGTATAAATGTAAAAAAGCAAAGTTTATGTGTTAGGGATGTAAATACATAAGAATTGTTGAACATTCGAGTCCATTTTACTAGCTGCTTCCAAAGGCCTACCGTCTCGCTTTATTTGTCAATAAATACAACAAATTAGACTAATTAAGCATAAACATTGAAACTGAAAATTAATCCAAGTCTGAACAAATAAGTTTCTTGAACCAAGATGATTCCAACAGCAATACGAAGTTAAGATGCAAATCCTTCCTTCAGAGTTGGAAAACGTCGAGTAAGAAAATATGGTAGTTGAGGATTGTATAAGCAGAAACAAAAACATAACATCAAGCATTACAGAATGACGACACTTGCCCGTCATTTGGCTTCGTGCGATGCAACCCATAGAACTGTGTCACTATGGTGGTAATTGCTAGCCAGCATCGTAATGAGCACCTGTATGAGAAATAGAAAGCAAATTAGCAAATGATGGGCATTATGCAAGTTCTCATAGTTCTACTGTTTGAGAAATGAAAATTTCAAAAAAAAAAGTCTTTTTCCTCAATTCCACTATAAACGGGAATGCAACCATAAACAAAAAAAATTGCACATATTTTTTGTCACAATGAAATATGCATATGAAAGAATTGGGACGAGAGCTATGTTTCTAATGAAATTAATAGTTATATTACAATAATGACAAAGAAACAACAATCATTTATCCCGCTAAGTGGAGTCGGCTAAGAGAATATCTTTTTTCTTCATTGTGATAAGAGAATCTTTTTTCTTCATTGTGACCTATTGAGTGTCATGTTTTCATTTAATTCTAATAAATTAAGATTTGTTTGTATAGAATATGCTCAAGTCTTTTTAGGTCTACCTCAACCTTTCGTAGCACAAGTCAAATTTAAAAAGTCTGCTCTCGAAACTGGGTCATCAGATTTGATGTGACCAAATCATCTCAGGTGGCACTCTCTAATCTTGTTTGTCACTAGAGCTACTTCAACCATTTCACTGATATATTTATTTTGCATTTTGTCCCTAAAAGCCTCTCACCCACCTGAGCATTCTCATCTCAATAACACTCAATTTTATGCTTCTCTTTTACAAGCCAACGTTCTCGTCTCAGTAACAGTTAATTTTATGTTTCTCTACCAGCTTAAGGTTCCTTAAATTTTCATTGATTTACCCCGTTTAAGCTAATTCTATTCCATTGATACCATTGATGTCATTTTATAGGCCCCAATGTTGATAGGTCGCTGTCCATAGTGAATAAGCTGATTCACCCTCTACATTATAGCTTGGTATGGCTATGAAATCATTGGGATGATTCTATTTGAGACGACAACATCTTTGTTATACTCATTCACTAGTTATCATAAAATGTAAGCAATACTCCTCTAATCAAGAGTATTCTTGGGTATCTCACAATATGTAATTTACTAAAGGGTATTGATCTTTTGGCAGTTAATATTGATCCCAAAACAAAATATAAGTTTGGTTCTATAATTTTGCGAGTTGCTTTAATAGGGTTTTCTCCATGGATATATTTTCAAGGTGATTTGACCTAATTTTGTTTTGTGCATACACTCTTGCTCTATCACATGAAGATTATCTGATAAAAATTTTCTACGTTCTTCTTTAATTTATTATCTAGTGATATCATATTTCTTCTATTTTTTATTTATCTTTTTTGAATCATTTGATGGTGCAGAAAATAATGTTATTTGTAAAACAGAATAATGTGATGAAAAATAAACAAAACAGTGGATATCAACTAAACCACTATGGATTATTTGTTTTAACATTTGTTTTGACAACTCTGACTAAAAAAAAAACAAAACATAACCCTTGGTCTTTCACCTATGGATCATTATGGATAATTGGTCTTTCGTCTGTGCCCTTCTTATTCATACTCCTTTTTCCTTTTGTTCATTAGATCTCCTCGAGAAACTATCTTCCAAACAGTGGATGTCAGCCAAACCAACAAATGATGTGGGATCGTTCGACTCTCTTAAAGGCCTTTGATGGGAGAAGGATCTAGCGGAGGACAGAAGTAGGCTGGGTGGTCAGGCAGTGACACATCGACCCAACATATTATTGGGGTTTATGCATAAGGCCCCGGAGTTCAAGTGCATCTAGACTTAAGTCAAGGCCACATCAAATCTATTTGGAGCCGTTGCCCGGGAAGTGATAGTGTAGTTAATTTTTTAGGTGAACCATTTAAATTTAGACATGGAAATTTGTATCGTTAGTCTTTTTGTGTAATTATTTGTTTGTTTAAAAAAGAGAAAATTTTCAAAAATATTTTTGTTTTCTTGTTGTGTGAATCCTACATTGTAGAGTCTCTAGTTGTGTATGCGTAGTTCAGGACCTACATGACTTGTGTCTTATGACTCAGAATTTGAGAGAACTATTATGAGTATTAGAAAACAAAGAAGACTTCACCAACTTGTAGAAACGACCTTGTCATATTTTTGATATATAGTAGCAATTGATATAGACATAGATCTTGATGCATTTTGCATGATAATTTTAAGAATCAAATTAAAGATTGTATGAGCTCTAATTTTAATTTATTTATAATCAAAATGAATATCTAAATAATATAAATGAACGATACCAAAAGTGATCGTATCCAAGTTCAAATATGCATATATTAAACACTTGAAGTATAATTTAAAATTTTAATTGGAAGACCAAACAATTCTTAAATTTGGCATGTTTATAGTCCGATCAAGCAACTTAATAAGAGGAATTCAACGAGCTTAAAATTATTTAATTTTGAGATTGTTAAGTCATTTAAATGCTAAAAGAATAACCAATGATCGAAGAAATCAATATGGATCATCTGATATACTATTTGGGAATTAGGTTAAATTTATCAAAACACTTTCTAAAAAATTATTTAAAAAATTTAATTCTTCAAGTACGAGGGAGGCCGAGTTGAGAACTAAGTACACTTATGAAGAGAATTTGTCATCAATAGTCATCAACAATTGTCAACGATCACAAACTCTTGTAGCATAACTATAACATTATAGCCTAACCTTAGTCATCATGGCCCAACAATAACTATTGTAGTTCGACTACAACTGTTCTAACCCAATTAATATATTTAACCTAACTACTATCCCTTAATCAATGCTATCATTTCATAATTGCTATTCTAATAACATACTGAAATTAATATTGCAATCAAATCATCTTCTATATTTTATGCTAAGGTTAGGATATATTTTTTAGAGAAGAGTAATACCCTAATTTTAAATTTATATTATCTAAAAAATAATTATAATAATGAATAACTAATTCACTTTCTTATATATTTTATGCTAAGGTTAGGATATATTTTTTTTTTTCCATTTGCAATATTGGATATAATTGCCACATATAGATATAAATTTGATGATATTATGATTATATTCATCAAAATATTATCAATTTACACATATTAATACGTGGGCTGCGGTTTGCATTAACTGTCGTCGTCGAGATATCCAAAACAAAGTAGTTGTCAACACCAGTTACTCTTTGAAAAATCAAACCTTTTAACTTAGGTTACAATGGCAGAATCCTTCTTCTCCGATGCATGACTCAACCCTCCCATCCCCTCCAAAACCCACCCGCAGGAAACAAAATCGATCCAAATGGCGACCTACGGCACAATCCCCACCTCTCCCGGGGAATCATCACCCCTCGACTACATCTCCCGCGCCAAAGCTCGCGGCCGATCAGCTCTCGCGACTCGCCGGGCATGGCGCGAGATGCTCCACTTCCACTCTTTCTCCCTTCCGCTCGGCCTCGGCGAAACCTATCTCCGGATCCGAACCAACGCCACCTATTTCGCCATGAACTACGCAATCATCGTCCTCTTCATCGTCTTTCTGAGCCTCCTCTGGCATCCGATCTCACTGATCGTCTTCGTGGTCACGATGTTCGCCTGGCTTTTCCTCTATTTCCTCCGGGATGAACCTGTTTTCATTCTGGGGCGCACTATCAGTGACCTATTTGTTCTCATCGCCCTGTCTCTATTGACTCTCGTGCTTCTCCTGCTCACCAGAGCTACCATGAATATTCTGATCTCGTTGTTGATTGGAGTGGTGGTTGTATTGATCCACGCCGTGTTTCGGAAGAATGATGATTTGTTTCTTGATGAGGAGGCGGCAGGTCCCGGTGGCTGGTACGCGGCCATTGGAGAGGCAAGCGGTCCTTCACGGAGGTCGTAGTGAACTACCGACCAGGTCGGATTGCAATTTTATTTAATTAATTACTGTTTGTTCTTTTGTTTCTGTATTGTTTCGATGACTTAGGGCTTTATATCTGAGATGTTCTTGAAGAAGAATGGATTGGGGATTAATTACTTTTCTCTGTGATTCTTTGTTTTGCTGTCAAATCCTCACCAAGCTGTTGTGCAGTTTTGGGGTATAGGATTCTGCTTTGATAATTGGAAATGCTTGTGCTGCTCAGAATTTGATTTGATGTATATTTTTGATATTAAAATCAATACTGATTTGTAATTAGGCAGCCGAATGGAGAAATTATAGTTTGTGGACTACAATTAATCTGATTGATATGCATCATTCTAAAGTTATATTCATGCGCGATCAATTATAGAAGTTAAAACATCCAGTCATGATTGAACACTGGGAACTGTAACAGAAGCTCTTTTTTTTTTTTTTCAAAGTATGGCTTAAATGATTTTTTTTGTTAGTTCTTTTAAGGATTTGAAATACAAGTAGTGTGCAGAGTTTGATTGATGGCTTGGCTGTTTATGAAATAACAATAAGTAGTAAAATTTCCTCTGGTGAGAAAAAAGCGATCTTTGAATTCGATGAGGCCAAATATCAAACAGGTTGCCGACACTGAGTGGGGCTACACTTGGCAGATGTGGGATCTGATTGTCTCCAACCATTATTTCTTCTTGGTTAAGAAAAATTATTAGGTATGGGGTCCTTATGTGCGAACTCTTTATACAATAATGTACGACACTGGTATACATGTGTATGATAGTGTTGTAGAACATGATTGTAGAAGGAGTTCGCATGTTTACAGATTTCATACATAATATTCTCCCTCTATTAGCCCATGATTAGGGCGTGAAAATCATTGATTTTATTCTTAGAATGGAAGATTTCATTACCCAACAATTTTAAAAGGAGATTGTTTCCACAAAATCGTATATTTCAATTGCATTCTTTATAAGTTATTGCTATCATTCACATATTATACTAATTAAAATATATTTTTTTTATAAAAGAAGATTTATATGCATACCACTAGTTCTTATTTGTTTATATATCAAACACTTAATGTGCAATTTTTACATGTGGACAATCTAAGTTATGTATGAAATTATTTATTTCATTTTATAAAAGTTAAAATCATAGTTTTTTTTAAGTGGTATGAAAGATTTGAGTGGTAGAAATATAAAAATTGAAGATCAGGTATTAGATATATAAATATATATATAAATCGGATGATATGCATATAAATTGCCCCTTTTTATATGAAACACTTAGACACATGATTTTGCAAACAGCTATAACCATCTCAAATCAGAAAAAATATTATGTACGGAGTCTGGACATAATTCTACATCCTGACTCCAATGAAAAATTACCACGTGTACATATATAATTTTAATTATTTTGATAAAAAAAGGGTCAACTTTACCTGACCCGACAAAGGCACGTAATATCATCGCAGTATCGCATTTGAAACAGGGTAAACTCTGGCTTTTTGGGGTTTCGTCCACTCATGTATTTTCATCTTCCTTATTTCCTTATTTATCGAAGCTTCTCATTTGGATTTAAGACAAACATGCTATTTCTTCCAGAACTGGTCATTTTAGCAGTTATTAGTAGCTCAACATTGCTTATCGACATTGCTTCTTCTTTAACAACATCACCACTATTTTACATAATGCTATTTCAGCCTTTTGGTAAAATATGTTCATTATAACATCTTATGCAACAAAAGGGTCATATATGCATGTAATAAAACTTGCTTATACAACAAAAGAGTCATCGCCACTACATTTTGTATTTAAAATCTATTGCCTAATTTTTTTGTCTTTCAATGCCTATAATCATTCACGTTAGAAGCAATATCACCTCCCATATTATGCATTTGAACGTTATTTCTATTTATTTCTTTGAAGGCAACGTTATTGTACTGCATAAATTTATTCAATACAACAAGGTTGTAGGGGTTCCAAAATAAGTTATTTGAATGAAATAGATCATAACATAAATGACATTTAAGTGGTTTGAAACAATGCACACAATAAAACCTACCAATGGCTTCTACTCCCTGATTTCAGTCTTCATGTGCGTATCTGCAGCTCTTCATCGTGGAAAAAATTTGCGTACATAAGACGTACGTAGAGCTGCGTACGTCTGTAACCTGCAAACAGGTTACAGGGAGGATTTTAGGAGGTTATAACCGCGTTATACCCCCTGTAACCTCCCTGTAACCTACTTGTACCTTCGAGTAAGTTTCGCGCTTCTGTTTTCATATATAGGTAGGTTACAGAGAGGTTACAGGGATGTTATAGAGTGTATAACGCGGTTATAACCTCCTGAAATCCTCCCTGTAACCTGTTTGCAGGTTACAGACATACGCAGTTCTGCGTACGTCTTATGTACGCAAATTTTTTCCCTTCATCGCAGCTGTTATCTTTCGTTTTTAGGGTTTCAAAACTTTTATTGTTTTATTGCTTCCTCTGTACAACTTATTTGATAAAAGTAAATATCGTGCAAATTCAAATCGAGGTGGGCCCACATGATAATTTTTCATTGGAGTCTGACGTAAAATAACGTCCGAACTTCACACGTAATATTTTTCCCCGACTCAATTTAATCCAAATTTGTCGAGAGAGTAAAGAGCATCCAAATAAGTGTAGATTAGAGGAGGGCAAATGTGTATTTCACTTCACTTTGGGCCGTTTAGTTGCTATTTATAAAATTTTTATATACTCGTTAATAAACTATAAAGAGATTTACATGTCATTTCCACCTACAAAGAGGATAGCTTGATGCTTTAACATGCCAAAATTTATGTTAGTGATAACATAAAAATGGAAGATTTACATACATACCACTCAATTCCTATATATTTACAAATTTGAAGCCAGAAACTATAATTTTTACATGTATGTTACGTTCGTATGCAAAGGTGCATTTCAAATTAAGATAGTAGTATATTTTTATGTGGTATAAATGTAAAGATAAAGTTTAGATGTTGGATATGTAAATGCATAGGAAAGAGGCGATATGTATGTGAAAGCCCAAAAAATAAAATTTGCAGAGTGTTAAATTTGAATTTGGCTTGGAGGCACGCTTAAGGGATTAGAGCATTCGACCCAAGAGAAAAATGAAAGAGAGAGAGAGAGAGAGAGAGAGAGAGAGAGAGAGAGAGAAGTGCACAAACAACTTACCTCTCTTGAGTAAAGTGGGGTATTCCTGGGCTCTGGTGACACTATTTATATAATCAAATAATTTTGTGCATGAAGAGGGTGAAGAGCCGAAAGTTCCTTATTGTAAGATAAATGAGAGAAGAGTGAGGCCAAAAATCCAACTCTATGAAAAGCCACATCTATTTATGGCAGGGGGAAATCAATGAAGAAAAATTACAAGTTGCATAGGCTATTCTAGTAATTATATCCTCGTGAGTCTGGGGTCTTGTTGTCCTTTGGTTGGTTGATTGAGACAGAAAAGGAGAGTTGATTGATGTTGCCAGTTGAACTTTTGATGGGGACCATCAATCCGTCGGTCCTTCAAGGCTAAGTGACCAGTTGAATTTCTGAAGACAGTCGGCTAGGATGATTTGGTCGACCAATATTTGAGAATTGGTATGAGTTGGTCGGAGGTGAATCAATCTTTGAGAATTGGTATGAGACCACCTTAAATGGAGTAAGACATCATTTTCTCGATCAGATTCAGTGGTAAATGTGAGTACCTGTGCATTTTACCATGAGTTCGTTCTTTTGATTAGTCTTAAGATGGATGTGAGCCATTGAGCTTTTTGCCTTAAGCTAATCATTTTCATTTTTTCCTTTACTTGATTCAAGATATTTTTTTCATTGAAGATACCGTTATCCACAATTTCGTTCCAAACAATCTTTCAACTTTCCTTAGGCTTCTGTTGCCTAAGATTCCCTATGAAAATCTTTTATAGTTTTCACTTTAAATTTCTAAGAGGAAAAATTGAAATAGACAAATTAAAAATTGAAATTCCACAATTGATATTTTCCTTGGAAATTTTTTGCTTAAGATTCCTCGGTAGAAAATCTTATTCCATTTTGATTCAAATTCAATATATGTTTTGTTTTAAGTATTGTTACTATAACATTCCTTTGGATCTTGTTTATCATTTTGGTAAATGTCAATACGTGCAATATATTTGTCCAATATAACAAACTTATTAGAGGTTCATTTGTGGACCTCATTTTTATGATATTTGTCTCTTTCTCTCTCTAGAACTTAAGGTTTAGTCGTAGTATTTCCTAGTGGCTTTTCCCAGTTGACTATTAATAAGATGCACACCGATTAGAAATTGAACCATTTCTTGACTCGTAGTGCTTTTGTGTACCTTCAACCTTTGGTTGAGTTTATTATGGTCAATTTATTGAAGCTCTAGTTGAGTTTCTATAGGACTTAAATGCCCTAAGCAACCCTTTGACCCTAGAGACTTAGATCTTCCTAGTGGATCTTTTCTTGGGGCATGTCACTCACCTTCACTCACTTTGAATGATTCCTCTTTTTTAATTTTTGAGAGCCCATTTGATTAAGGAGATCACATCAAATTAAAAGGAGGTTAATACTGTACTAACATAAATAAAATAATAAAACCATAAAAAATTCCTTAAATTTCAAGAATAAAATAAAAATTATTAAGACAATTAAATTAAATTGAAATTGAAATTAACATAATTGTAATTTTCAAAATCTATAGATAAAAATTTTTGAAAATTTTTTAATAAATAAAAATTATTTTTTAAAAATAAATCAATAAACTGAAATAAACAAATAAAGTTTAAACTTACCAAAAATATTTCAAAACAAAATAAAATTCAAATAAAAAAAATCATCAAAATTTAAAAATATATATATAAGAAAATAAATATTAAGAAAAGTTCATTAAATAAAATAAATCAATAAAATGTTGAAAAATAATTCAATGACCAAGGTTATCAAAAAAATTTAATAAAAATAAAATAAATTTTTAAAAATATAATAAAATGGTAATTTTAAAACATTTTTTTCATCATTTTCATTTAATTTTTTTAAATTCACTTAAACTCACTTAAATTCAAAACAAAATTTTCACAACGTCTACTTCATTAACTAAAATATTCACAAAGCTTTCACAATCATTACAATTTTTTTTCTTAATTGTCAAATCATAATAATTTTCAAAAGAAAATAAAAAAATCACCAAAATTCTCACCCATAAATTCACCCACTCAATTTTTTAACATACCTAAACTAAAACCCATACATTTGAAGCTTCCTATTGGTTAATCTTTTAAACCTGATATTTTGTTTCCAATTCATCCATTTTGAAGCCATGTGCCAGGCCACTTTCAGGGATTTTCCCATTTCTGAATTTTTAAATTCACATGGCTTCCCTCTGATACTACTTCTAGATGCATCTACATTCTGAGGGCTCATACAAGTGCACTTGTCGTATCAGTAATATCATATTTTTGAATCTGGAATGTCAATTTCACAGGGAACTTAAACTTAGGAAAAGTTTTAGCCTACTGATTTTGTTCTTAGACTAAGTAAAGAAAAATTTAGAATTTCTATTGGTGAGGATACCATCGCCAGTCCTCTTAGAATAGTCAACAGGAAAGCCCTATGGATAGATCTTAGACTCCTAAGGAAGAAAGATTAGATCTCAACAAAAAAGTGAGGTCAACACTGAGCAGAATATAACTGACGAATAAGGGTCAAGTATTAACCAGAAGGGGATGGAGGAGTCCAGTTCCCTATCAAGAGGCCTAGGCTTGGCAGGAGGAGGAAAAAAAGGACATTTTTGTGAAAAGCTCATTCAATCAACTGATTGCTGCTTTTGCAGCTCCGTCACCTGCTGTTGCTCTCCCTGACAACATCATCATAGAATGTATTGGAACTTTGGATGCTATTCCAGAATTAGTTGCCGATATGGGCTTTTATGCAAAATGTGTCAAAAAACTTGAGGACCCTACCCGTAGGCAAATGTTCATTGCGCTGCGGCCTGAACTGCACATTGAATATTTGCATATTTTGCTGGAAGAATGAGACTGTTTTACATTTTTTTGTCACTAGATTTTTTCTTGGTATTTTTTTTCCGACAGTTTTATTTATTCTCCAAAACAATATATGTAATTCCTTTTGATACTTTGTAGTCCTTGATATTTTTAATATTTCATTTTGCTGCTACTACTCCTCCACAATTTATCTCATCCTAATATCTTGCTCTTTTTAGGATGGATCTGCAACAAGAACGTCGTAAAAGAATGACATGGGCTGCAACTATTACAATATCATTTTTTGGAGTACTATCACTCCAGCATTAGTTGAATACTACACATGACATCCTCCTTTTTTGGGGATAAATGGGTGGGTGAGATGCTTTCTGGACATCCGAAAAAGTTCAACAACATTTATCGAATGACTGCACCCATTTTTTGGATCTCCTTCATGAGTTATCTCCTAACCATAGCTTTCAAGGTTCTTCTAGAATGACATCTAGAGAAGTATTGGCTATAACATTATACATTCTCTCACAGAACGAATCTGTTAGAGGAGCTATGGAGCGATTTCAAAATTCCTCAGAAACAATTATTCGATACTTCTCCAAAGGTAAACAAGCACTTGTGAGCTTAGCGTCGCAAATCATTATGCCAGAGGATCAATCATTCACTACTACTCTTGAACAAATAGCCAATGATCCCCGTTACATGTAATATTTCAATGTAAGTTTTATTAGTGTGTTGCATTAACTTTAGAATGTAATGAGTTTCTAACAATTAAAAACAGAGTTGCAATTGGCCAATCGATGGTACACACGTAGATGCTCGACTACCCAGCCATAAAAATGTCGCGTACATTGGTTGGAGTTGTTCAACTCCCAAAAATGTCATGACAGTATGTGACTTCAACATGAGCTTCACATTTGCAATGGCAGGATAGGAAGAGAGTGCACATGACAGTCGTTTTTTTTTTCCAAGTAACTAGAAATAGAATGCAGTGTTTCCCTCACCTGCCTCCAGGTTTGTTTAACTATGTAAACCTATAACTTATATGTATTATTTGTCATTAATAATGTCTTTCATAACAGGGAAATATTTTTTGGTTGATGCCTGATATCCGATGCAGAAGGGCTACCTAAAGCCCTATCCGGACACCAAATACCATATTCCTGATTTTGAGAGAGCAAGCGACACGATCCATTACAAAAAAGAAATGTTTAACAAACGTCATTCCTCTTTATGTGGGGTAATTGAAAGAACATTTGGGATGTGAAAGAAAAAATGGGTCATCCTACGTGATATGTCGTCGTATCCATTTTCCAAACAGGTGCATATTGTGGCGGCTACTATGACACTTCACAACTTCATCCGACGGCATCCCTCTCAATCAGATATGGACTTCAGTTTGGCTGATGAAGACCAGCTGCATATCTCTACAGAACCTTCTGAATTTCTGGTTGGGCATTCATTACCTGAGTATGAGCTAGAGTCGAATGAATTTGAAACTCAGGACGGTGATGGTGTAGCCGAGTTGACTGTTTTGAGGGAGTCTATAGCAGATACTATCTGTGGATGTTGATTCAGCCACTCTTCTTTATTTATTAGATTATCGGTTTATTTTGTATGTTTTTTGTTGTAGTGTGAATTTGGATTTTTTGATTTTATTAAGAATTTCGTTTTTTTATTAAAACCTTTGAATATGTAAAAATGACGTGTTTGAAATTTGTTTTAAATTCTTTGTTTTGTTTTGTTTTTTTTTTTTGGTGTGTGAGGTCAGTGATGAATGATTGAAAATATGGCCTTATGAGTTCTTATGAATGGCTGATTCAGTGTTGTTATCTAGTGTTGCATGTGTATTCCTAATGAAGGCAAACAATATCCTCCATTCTTTTGGGTGCATCGACTTATGAGAATTTTTGTGGATGACCTTGTTTGGTGATATAAACATTTGGCACAGGACGATCGTATCATGTTGGTATTGCGTGTGAAATGCTAAAGAAGGCAACCTAGGTCCTCTCTTCTTCTCAGTGCAACAATATATGAGGATCTACTAGATGACTTTTTTTGGTAATTGGCACATGTATCCCAGGACGATCGTCCCCGTCGGTTAACACAACCAATAACTCATTTTTTTGAAAGTCCAGTATCTCCTTTTAGTGACAGACACGTGGGTTGGTGTAGTTACTTGTTTAAGATCACACACTCACATTTCTTTTTTATGCTTATTTAGGTCAATACGATTTTCGTTTAATTCGGTCCTTTTGTAGCTATATAGAACTTAATTTAATTTTCTAATCTGAAAAATGTTTTTTTTTGTTGTTTTATCTCTGTAGCAGCATGAGCTTTAGGATTTCAGGGACATCCTGAGTTGTATTGTGTTACTGCAGACTGCCGACTCCATTACTTACATCACGACAGCCTCATAGCAGTGAGAGACAATTTTACGGTTATTGGAGGGGCGTTTCAGTGCATTGCAGTTTCTTCCATTGGACTGACATTCCAACATATTTCACTACCGACAGTGATCGGGGTACGATGGTTTCCCAAGAGGATAGTGCGGCTAAGAATAGACGACGTCAGAGTTTTTAAATATTTTAATATTTTTAATTGTAGTTGTAATTGTATTTCTTTTGATACTCACGAGAGAGTAAGTAGTGTATTTTATTTTCTTAAACTGATCTGTAACAGTTTGCGACTTCTGTTTTTTTAATTATTTTCTCCATTCTGTTCTTTTGCAAACACCTTCACCAAACAGAGACAGAATGATCATTTATTCAACAACAACTGCCAATAAGCTCCCTAAACAACAAACCAACTTATCCTGATAATCTGCAGATTATCAGATTATCCGGATAATCTGCTTATTAGCAGATTAAAAATAATCTACAGCTGCCCCAAACAGACCGTAAGTTTATACTTATAAAAAGAGTTTGTAATTAATAATCATCAACAATTGTCAACGATCACAGACTCTTGTAGCATAACTATAACATTATCCTAACTTTAGTCATCATGGCCCAACCATAACTATTGTAGTTCAACTACAACTGTTCTAACCCAAATAATATATTTAACCTAATTACTATCGCTTAATTAATGTTATCATTTTATAATTGTTATTCTAATAACACAATGCTAAATAAATATTGCAATCAAATCATCTTCAATTAGAGAGAAGAGTAATACTCTAATTTCAATCATAAAGTAGATTATTTTGATTTGGCTATGCACAATAATTTTTTCATTTTAAATCTCATATCATATCATTTACTTTTCTGCATGCATCGAACATTTTTGTTGAGTTAAGACCAATATTTTCTTTGCCATCAAAGATGTCCACCACACAACACCTCTAAACAAAAATAGAACTAAGCTATTACACAACACAACTAAATCATTAGAATAATTTATTAATCTTATTATGTTTATGAACATCTGTTATTTTAATTATATTTATTTTCTAAATTTATATTATCTAAAAAATTAATTCTAATAATGAATAACTAACCGTACATAAAATCAAAAAATATAAAAATGTAAATCACATTCTTAAGTATTTTATGCTAAGGCGAGGAGAAATTTTTTTTTCCCATTTACAATATTGAGTTATAAAGTATGTTCAAGTGTGGAAATAGATAGCCGCAGATTCGTATAAATTTGATTATATTATGATTATATTCATCGTCATATTATCAATTCACGCAGCACGAAGCCATCCACCAAAATCATTACGTGGTGCTGCAGTTTATAATTGTCGTCATCGAGATCTCCAAAACAGTGATTATCAACCCCAATTAGTCTGTGAAAAATCCAATCTTTCAAACTAGGTTACAATTGCAGAAATCATCTTCTCCGAGGGCCCGCCGCCCCCTCCCCCACCCCCCCCGGCGATCCGATGCATAACTCAACCCTCCCATCCTCTCCAAACCCTAGCCGCAGGAAAAGAAATCGATCAAAATGGGGACCTACGGCACATTCCCCAAGCCCCCCGGCGAATCATCACCCCTCGACTACATCTCCCGCGCCAAAGCTCGCGGCCGATCAGTTCTCGCGACTCGAGGGACATGGCTCGAGATGCTCCACTTCCGCTCCTTCTCCCTTCCGCTCAGCCGCGGCGAAACCTATCTCCGGATTCGAACCAACGTCATCTATTTCGCCATGGACTACGGCTTCATCGTCCTCTTCATCGTCTTTCTGAGCATCCTCTGGCACCCGATCTCACTGATCGTCTTCGTGGTCGTGATGTTCTCCTGGCTTTTCCTCTATTTCCTCCGGGATGAGCCTACTTTCCTTTTGGGACTCTCTATCTATGACCTACATATTCTCATCACCCAGTTTATATACTCTCTCGCGTTTCTCCTGGTCACCGGAGCTATCATGAATATTCTGATCTCTTTGTTGATTGGAGTGGTGGTTGTATTGATCCACGCTGTGTTCCGGAAGAATGATGACTTGTTTCTTGATGAAGATGATTTGTTTCTTGATGAGGAGGCGGCGGGTCCCGGTGGCCGGCACGCGGCCATTGGAGAAGCAAGCGGTCCTTCACGGAGGTTAGTGAACTGCCAACCAGGTCGTATTGCAATTTTATTTATTACTTACTGTTTGTTCTTTTGTTTTTGTATTTGAAATGAAATGTTATGGAAATATTAAAATAACGCGAGAAATATGCCAAATAACATAACCCCAAATCAAGTAACACGGGAGAATATTTTTTCAATAACACCGCTAACACCGCAAAATAATCGAATAACACCACATAATACTCGAATAACACTTCATTTTTTACAAATAATGTTGATTAAATATTTCTGTAACACAGCGGGATATTCCTATAACACATCTACTATTGGAATCCGAACTACGTTTGGAGTCCTAATGTAATATGCACTCTTAATTACTTTTCTCTGTGATTCGTTATTTTGCTGTCAAATCCTCACTAAGCTGTTGTAAAGCTTTGGGGTTTAGGATTTTGCTTTAATAATTGGAAATGCTTGTGCAGCTCAGAATTTGATTTTGATGTATATTTTTGATATTAAAATCAATACTGATTTGTGATTAGGCAGCCGAATAGAGAAATTATAGCATCTGGACTACGATGAATCTGATTGATATGCATCCTTCTAAAGTTATATTCATGATATTTTTTTTATTTTTCGAAGTATGTCTTAAATGATTTTTTGTTCTTCTTTTAAGGATTTGAAATACGAGTAGTGTGTTGAGTTTGAATGATGGCTTGATTGTTTATGAAATAACAATAAGAGTAGTAAAATTCCATCTGGTGAGAAAAAAATGTGATCTTTGAATTGGATGAGGCTAAATATCAAACAGGTTGGCGACACTAAGTGGGGCTAAACTTGGCAGATGTGAGATCCGGTTGTCTCCAACCAGGATTTTATCTTGGTTAAGAAAAAATATTAGGTATGGGGTCTGTATGCGCTAACTCTTTATACAATAATGTACGACACTGTTATACATGTGTGTATAATAGTATTGTAGAACATGATTGTACAAGAAGTTCGCATGTTTGTAAATTTCATACATAATATTCTCCCTCTATTAGCCTGTGATTAGGGCGTGAAAATCATTGATTTTATTCTTAGAATGGAAGAATTCATTGCCCAACAATTTTAAAAGGAGATTGTTTCCACAAAATCGTAAATTTCAATTGCATTCTTTATAAGTTATTGCTATCATTCACATATTATACTAATTAAAATATATTTTTTTATAAAAGAAGATTTATATGCATACCACTAGTTCTTATTTGTTTATATATCAAACACTTAATGTTCAATTTTTACATACAAACAATCTTAGTTGCGTATGAAAATATTTATTTCATTTTTTAAAAGTTAAAATCAGTGTTTTTTAAGTGGTAAAAAGATTTGAGTGGTAGACATGTAAAAATTGAAGTTCAGGTATTAGATATATAAATATATATATAAATTGGATGATATGCATATAAATGGCCCTTTTTTATATTAAACACTAGCCACATGATTTTGCAAACAACTATAACCATCTCAAATCAAAAAAAATATTCTGCGCGGAGTTTGGACGTTATTCTACATCCTGACTCCAATGAAAAATTACCACGTGTACATATATAATTTTAATTATTTTGATAAAAAAAGGTGAACTTTACCTGACCTGACAAAGACACATAATATTTTCACAGTATCGCATTTGAAGCAGGGTAAACTCCGGCTTTTTGGGGTTTCGTCCACTCACGTATTTTCACCATCCTTATTTCCCTATTCATCGAATCTCCTCATTTTGATTTAAGACAAACATGCTATTTCTTCCAGAACTGGTCATTTTAGCAGTTATTAGTAGCTCAACATTGCTTATTCTTTAACAACATCACCACTATTTTACATAATGCTTTAGCCCGTTAATAAAATATGTTCATTATAACGTCTTATGCAACAAAAGGATCATATTTGCATGTAATACAACTTGCTTATACACACAAGGGTCTTCGCCACTAAATTGGTATTTAAAATCTATTGCCTAATTTTTTATCTTTCGATGCCTATAATCATTCACGTTAGAAGCAATATCATCTCCCATATTATGCATTTGAAAGTTATTTCTTTTTATTTGTTTGAAGACAACGTTATTGTACTGCATAAATTTATTCAATACAACAAGGTTGTAAGGTTTCCAAAGTAAGTTATTTAAAAAGAGAATATAAAAAAAAAAAAAAAAACACGGTTGTACCGAGGAAAAAATTCAGATACAACCGCGTTGCACTGAGCGTTAACTATCAAATAACCCATAAATCACTTATAACGTAGACAAATGTTGTTTTAAAATAATAATTTAAATGTACTTCATGTACTGTAATATAACAACGTTGTATTAAAGAGAACTTTCAGATACAACAGTGTTGTACTGAACATAAAACCATCTAATAATCCTTGCGTCCATCAAAACGAAGAAAAAAATCATCTAATAATACATACATCCAGGATTATATTTGCCATTTCTGTATATTTCTAATCTACACTATGCAGGTTTGAATATTTATCTTGTAATGTTACAAGTATGCAGTCATTAGACACCAATCTATCCTTTTTTTGCTGCACTACACATCCTTTAATCTGCTTAAGGATGCCAAATTTTTTGTGAGCCATATAAATAAACGTAATGTGGATAATTCTGAATCAGTACTCATCACTGTTGTGAACAATTACCATTGGACTCTATTGGTAGAGGAAATCAAGATGAAGACATGGCTTTCTTTTTGACTCATTGGCAAGTCCCCTTCATCATTCAATGCTCACGAAGATAGTATGTATTTTTTTTAATAAATAATCTCCTGGAATTTATGCCTCCAAAACAGACGCTAGTTTTAATTATCTCTTGATTGACAAATCAACCTTGTACACAAGGTTGTTGGTGGAGTGTTCAATCGAACATCACAGAGTGGCCATTCCAAGAGGTGTAAGACATCCCACATGAAATTAACGATTTTGATTTTGTAATGTAGGCATGTAGATTTTTGGAGACCTTGATTTCCAAGGGAGTCAACACATCATGGACAGAACACCGGGTTGGGCTGAAAAGATGCCTATCTTTAGGGCTAAATTTGTGTATGCCTTGTATTGTATGACCATTAAGAAACAGGGAGCCTAAGATTGTTGTAATTTATCAGAATAGACGTGTGTTCACCTGACGCATTAGCTATTAATGATATGCCTTCCCTTTGATATTATTTTATTTTCATTAACTTCCTAGTCGTTTTCATTCGAAAAGATCACAGTTATCTTTCTCTTCATTCCTTTTCTTACTTTCATGAAATGTAACCATACAATAAGAGCAGAAAAAACAAGTTTGTACCAAACATTTTCTTCAACATATCTGATACTATCACGTTATGTCATATTTTGGGTGTTATGTTAACTCTGTGACCTATTTTCACATAAAAAGTGCAGAACAGCAGGGTTGTAACAATAAATTTCTTTAGTACAACATTTATTGTAATGCCATTTCATATGTTCCAGAGTAAATTATTAATTAGAATTTTATTTTATGGGTGTTATGTTAATTTTGTAAACTATATTCACGAGAAGATGCAGAACAACAAGGTAGTACCAAACATATTCTTCAAATTATGGGTGTCGTGTTAATCTTGTGACTTATAAAAATGTAAAATGCACGAAACAACGGGGTTGTACCGATCATTTTCTTCAGTACAACAAATATCTCAGTGAGTAATAATAAAATTCACTGTCATATAAATTAATTATAACGGCACAACAATTGTTTCAATTGAATAAATAAAGAAAACACAAAGTTAACGATGGTTTTGACGCTCAATTATATCTATCATCAGTTGGGTGTAACACAACGTTGGTGAACTAATGCTAGGAATTTTCGTGACACTGGATCCTCGCATGAATTCCTGTTAAATTTCAATGGTATTTGGCCAGTAGCTGACTTGATCCTTTCTAACACTAAATCATATCTAGTGTGTGTAGGTACGATACGCCTTGTATGCTTCGTTCTCATCATGAATGATGGTGCACAAAAGTATTTTTGAGGCTTGCTCTTCAATTGCCTGATTTTCCACTGAATCATGAATTGAACCAATGAATCTAGGTGATTTATGGTAAAAGTAAGATTTTAGTAATGAGAATCAATGATATTATTACATACATGAACCCAACTATGAGAGACATAGTTAAAAAAATTAAATGATTTAAAAATATAGTTATGCTGATGATAAATAGAGAGAAAACATTATAAAGCATAGGTTGTACTAAAAAATTATATATAAGTATAACATGGTTGCAATGATTAATATTAAAGAAAATTCTATTCTAAACCATTATGAGTGTTATTTGAAATGTACTTACTCACAATAACAATTTATCTGACATTGAATGATGAAAACACATCTATTTATGATAGGTTGAAATCAATGAAGAAAAATTACAAGTTGCATAGGCTATTCTACTAATTATATCCTCGTGGGCCTGGGGTCTTGTTGTCTTTTGATTGGTTGATTGGGGCTGAAAAAGGAGAGTTGATTGTTGCCAGTTTGTTTTCTGATGGGGACTGTCAATCTGTTGGCCCTTTAAGTTTAAGTGACAGGTTGAATTTCTGAAAACAGTCGGCGAGGATGATCTGGCCGACCGATATTAGCTGGACGGATGAGTTGATCAGATGTAAATCAATCTTTGATAATTTGTATGAGACCATATTAAATGGAGTACGTCATCCTTTTCTTAATTAGTTTCAGTGGTAAATGTGAGTCCCCATGGATTTTACCATGAGTCTATTCTTCTAATTAGTCTTAAGATGGATGTTAGCCATTGAGCTTTCTATCTTAAGCTAATCATTTTCACTTTTTCCTTTTTTGGATTTAAGATTTTTTTTTCTTTGAAGAAACAGTTTCAAACAATCTTTCAACTTTCCTTAGGCTTTTGTTGCCTAAGACTCCCTAAGAAAATGTTTTTATAGTTTTAATTTTAAATTTAAAAAAGAAAAATCTGAAACAACAGATTAAAATTGAAATTCAAAAATTTACATTCCATATTTGATCTTTTCTTTGGAAAATTTTTGGTTAAGATTCCTAGGTAGAAAATTTTATTCCAATTTGATTCAAATTCAATTTCTTGTTTGTTTTAAGTATTGTTACTTGAACATTCCTTTGGGTCTTATTGATCATTTTGGCCAATGCCAATAAGTGCAATGTATTTATCCTGTATATCACACTTATTGGAGGTCCATTTGCGGGCCTCTTTTTTATGAAGTCTATTTTTTTCTCTATAGAACTTAAGGTTTAGTCGTAGTATTTCCTAGTGACTCTGCCTTGCGGACTATTAATAAGATGCAGACCAATTAGAATTTGAATCATTTCTTGACTCGTAGTGCTTTCATGTATTGACATTGAACCTTCAACCTTTGGTTGAGTTGATTAAGCTCAATTTATTGACTTTCTATTCAAGTTACTATAGGATTGACATGCCCCAAGCAACCCTTTGACCCTAGAGACTTGGATCTTCCTAGTAGATCTTTCCTTGAACCACATCACTCGGCTTCACTCACTTTGAATGATTCCTCTTTTTAGTCATTTGATTATAGAGTTCACAGTAAGTTAAAAGGAGACTAATATTGTACCAAAATAAATAAAATAATAAAATCATAAAAAATCCATAAATTTTCAAAAATAAAACAAAATTTATTAAGAAAATTAAATTAAATTGAAATTGAAATTAACTTAACGAAAATTTTCAAAATCTATAGATAAAAAATTTCTAAAATTTTTTTAATAAATAAAATTTAATTTTTTAAAATAAATCAAAACAAACAAATAAAATTTTAAACATACCGCATCAGAGATGGTCGGGGCTCGTATTATAGCCTCAGGCTATTCTTTAAAAAAAATGGTATATATAAACATAAATACATACATACATACATATATATATATATATAAGAAAATAATATTAAGAAAATTTCATAAAATCAAATAAATCAATAAAATTTTGAAAAATAATTCAATAATCAAGATTATCAATAAAAAAATTAATAAAAGTAAAATAAAAATGTAATTCTCTTCATCATTTTCATTTCATTTTTTAAATTCACTTGACTCACTTAAATTCAAAATAAAATCTTCAAAACGTCCACTTCATTCACTAAAATATTGAGGAAGCTTTCACAATCATTACAAAATTTTTCTTAATTGTCAAATCCTTATAAATTTCAAAATAAAATAAAAAATCACCAAAAATCTCACCCTCAAACACACCCACTCAATTATTTAGCTAAACTAAAAACCATACATTTGAAGCTGCCTATTGGTTACTCTTTTAAACTTGATATTATCTTTCCAATTCATCCATTTTGAAGCCATGTGCCAAGCACTTTTAGGCATTCCCCATTTTTTGAATTTTTAAAGTCATTGGCTTCCCTCTAATACCGCTTCTAGGTGCATCTACACTCCGGGGGCTCATGAATGTGCACGCGCGTATCAATAATATCATATTTTTGAATCTGAAATGTTGATCCCACATGGAACAAGAGAATTAAACTTAGAAAAAGTTTTAGCCTACTGAGTTTGTTCTTAGACTGAAATTTAGATTGAGTTAAAAGTTCTACGAACTATTCCTATAGTATCTAAAGCAAGTGTAAAGCGTAAATCCTACAAAATTTCTATTTAATTAGGTTTTGGATTGATGATTATTAGCTTCTAAATCTATCCTCCCTTGCAATGATGTAAGTGGAGAGCAAGAAAAGTAAAGTATAAATTGTAAATGTGACTAGTGACAAATATGAGTAACTCTCTTCATTCCCCTCTTCTGAGTGCATAAAGAAGATTGGATAAAATGACTTTAATTCCTTAAATCATGTTTTGAACCCGTCAAAGAATATTTCCCTAACATTTGCATATCCTTGAGAAGCATATCCACTTATACTCCACAGTTCAACTTGACTAACCTAGTTGATTCCACCATAGCTCTGATGAGTCATTATGGTTCACAACACATTTTATTTTCAAAATCAAACCCTAAAAAAAACCAACAATTATATAGTATTATATGTTTGGTATCTTCAAATAAAAAGATTCAACATTTAAAGAGATTTTCAAATGAGGGAGTTTAAGGGTTTGAAAAGATTTTCTTTGAATTTAAAATTTGAGACAGAAATGTCATGAAAAGGCACAGGAATGGAATTAACAATCGTTGGGAAGAAAGTGTACTTTGGGGATGAGAATGTAGAATAATTGAGGAGTTATGTTTGATTTTAAGATGTAGGATTTGATTGATTTGGTTTAAAAAGATTGATGTGAAATATTTGATTTGAAGTTTTAATTTCGAAGAGTTCATTTGAGTTGAAGGCTTGATTTGAGTTGATTTGGTTTAAATTAAAGGATTAATTGGAGTTGAAGGTTTGATTTCAAGGGCTTAATTTGAGTTGATGTGAGTTAAATTGGGTTGAATGTGCAATTTGAGTTGATTTGGATTGAAGGATTTGAGTTAAAGATTTGATTTGAAGTTTAATTTGATGGTTGATTTGAAGTTTAATTTGAATAGTTTTAAGTTCGGTTTGAATGTTGATTTGAAATTTGATATGAATGTTGATTTCAAATTTGGTGTGAAGGTTGATTTGAAGGTTATTTAAAGGTTGATTTGAAGTTTAATTTGAAGTTTTTTTGAAGTTTGGTTGAAAGATGTTTGAAGATTGTTAGAGTGTTGTTTGAAGGTTGTTTGAAAATTCATTTTAATTTAAGAACAAAAAGGTTTGGATTTTTGAATTTTTTGAAAATTTTAAAAGGTTTGAAGTTTTGAAAAGTTTGAAGTTTCAAAATGAAGCCTTGAAATTCTAAGGGTTTGAGTTCGAAAAGGTTTTGATATTTTAATAAAAGGTTTCAAGATTTAAAGTCTGAAAAAGGAGTTTGAGGGTTTGGAAAGGTTTGAAGTTTGAAAAGTTATGAAATTTGAATAAATTTTAGAACTGGAAAAAAATTGAAGTTTAAAAAATATTTATAGTTTTGTATGTTTTGAAATTTGAAGGAGTTTCAGGGTTTTAAAAAAAGCTTGGATTTTGAAAAAGGATTGAAATTTGAAAAAGTTGAAAATTTAAAAAAAAAATTGAAATTTGAAAAAGTTTGAAGTTCGAAAAAGGTTTAGAGTACGAAAAAAATTCATGTACTTTATTCATTTAGTATGATTCATAGACAAATCAAGATTGAACAATACTATAATATGCTTATATATT